AATTGAGTGTCTCTGCAGGTCAGTGTATGCCAATGAGGCCATGCAAAACTGTCAATGAAATGATCAGAGCCTTTATCATCCTTTAATCTAGTTGGTTGAACCTTAAGTGTATTTATGTAGCAATTGGAAGAGAAAAAGAGAGCATTTACAAAATGTAGCGTATCCTCACGACACATTATAAGAGTATGGGGAGGGTTTTTATGGCTTAAAATATATAAAAATAATATAATAAACATGTGGTTTCTACTTGGTGGATTCTCACCGATCACGAGGGGTGTCGGAACGTAATCTCTGGGATAATCAGGGATCTTGGTTCAAGCCCCGACTGGAGTCTTTCAAAGTAGAGTTCTGTTGGTCTCCCTGTGTCTGCGTGGGTTTCCTCTGAATCCTTCAGTTTCCTCCCACACTCATCTGACATGCATGTCAGGTTATCTGGCTAAGTGGAAAAACTTGCTGTAGGTGGCAGGTAGACAAAGTCCTCAAAGAATACAAAATAAGTCCTAGTTTATCGAAAATTAAATTTGACCCCAGCCTTTAATATGCTCTGAGGAAGTTCATTGGACAGTAAAAGTGTGCTTATGTAATAAAAGCAGAGATTCTGCAATTCTGCCTGATCTGTTAAGGCTAATGCTGAATGTTCAGTTTCATTTCTGCTTAATCGTAACTTAACATTTCTGTGTCACACGGAAGCAAATACAGGATGTACATTCTTGATGTCACATTTTTGGTTTTCTTACTTTCTCACTAACTGCTAATGACACTTCAGTTTCTGTTCTGCTTAAACCAACCTTATAGTATAAAATATAAACTTCTAGTCAGAGCAGTTTTTCCAGCTTGCATGGCAGCCAGGTGCAGTCTCCTCTTTGTCAGTGTGATTCATCGAACGCATTATTAGGATGCACTTGCCAGGTCATATTAAGTCTTAAACCCTGAGCGTCACTTGTCCATAGAGATTCATTTGTTCAAGAGGCTCTTTTCATGTTTGGATGTTCTCTTTGATGTTGACAGAAGTCACAGGTTTCCTACAGAGGTAAAGTTAGTTAATTTCTAAAACAAATTATATGAATACATCTGGGTCCTCTTTATCTGATGATCTTGCAGCTAAACAATTAAACTAACCAAAGAAGTTAATTTTTAAAACCCTTTCATGCTGTTGGCTGTCAAGCAGGAGACTGTTTTTCCTTTGCCAGTCTGTTGCTACTCATGGTGATAACTTGGTCCTCAGTTCCTTATGATTCTCTCGTTGTTCAGCTGTGTACTTACTTCGTTTCCTTGAGCCTACAGCTTGCATAGTTTCAACTTTCAATTCAATTCAATTCAATAAAACTTTATTGATCCTGAAAGTTGACCCCAAAGGAAATTGGGACAGTTGGCAGTCTTGTGTCGGGTTCTCATCCACCTTCACCCTGTTTCACCGCTTCACCTTCAGAAGTTAGCTCTTCCCCATCTGCCGCTCACTCGGCTTCCTGCCCACCCTGAGGTTTAAATCAGTGCACACCTCATTCAGTCTCTTTCTTTCAGACGCTCAGTTCCCCTCTCTCTCACTGAACCAGCTTCTCCTGTGTTTTGCAGCCTTACAACTCAGTGAACCCCCGTTTGGAAACCCTGTGTCATTATGGCTAAGTTGACTGTGTTTTGCCTTAAGAACGTGATTGTGATCACTGTTTGAGTTTGGAGTTTGTTCATCTCCAGCATCGGCCTCTGGGCCTTGTTACACTTGTGTAATTTTCTGAGTCTTTCCTTGTATGCTAACATTTTTTTCTCCCTTTGTCAAGGAGGGATACCCAGCATCATAGTTATAATAAATGGCTCTTTATATTGAAAACACCAGACAAACATACTGCATGACACAAAGCATCAGTGTAAAGTCTGAAACAAACGCTTCATGGTGGATTTTTGCAGTTGAAACACTCATTCAATAAACTCTCAAAAAGTAGGATAAGACTATAAAAATGGGGTCCAGATTGTAGATTGAATGTTTTTATTCAGTCAGTAAAATATTATTAAATATTTTTATTACTATATTATATTATTACTTATATAATCCTTACATTTCTGCACTTGCAACTAAGCTTCGCATGGGTGAATCATCATTCCCTTCATTTATGTTAACTCTTAACACAGATAATTTTCTTGATAACTAGGAAATCATGAAAATTAATTTAACATAGTCTAATTTCAAAATGATTATATAACACTCTTTCACTGATAAGTATGTCAAAACACACTCTGACATTCGGCATTATAAGATCTCTCAGTTTCACTTTTAGTGACAACTGCTGGTTGAGTCATTAAACCAGTTGCAACTGGTTGCGCAGGCATCATCATCACTCCTGGCTGGACAGTTGGAACAGGCTGCATGTTGATGACCGTGTTATTGTGTAAGTTGATGACAGTTGGCGCTTTCTTGCGATGCTTTAACTC